CTCCACCTAGTAGCTTCTTGCTACTAGTAGTAATGTCCTCCAACCTATTCTCAAGGCAGTTGACACAGCTTCTTGGACCCCAGCTTTTGTTCACCCGCCGCTGCTTTCTTTCCAGTTCGAGCTTCTCCTGCAGGGCAGAAATTGGTCTCTTGAAGACTTCTGAACGAGAGCAGGGTTAAGCTGCGGTCAATTGGTGAGTTTCAACACAAGGAAATCCAAAAAACAAACAAGACATGCTGTCAGAATGCAAATGGGAGCATGTCATGTCCGCATGTAGCCCTCAAGGAGAAATTGCCATAGCAATTCTCTATCAAGAACTCTTTAAGCTGCATCATCTCTGCAAATATCAGTAGAGTGGAACTTCCGCTTGCGCCTCTTGAAACTGTGCCAACTTCTCCTCTGAACGGGGGAAAAGACCGGCGAAGTGGTCCTTGTTTGCAAACCTCCCGTATTCTGCCAAGGGCGGCTAAATGTGCGTAGCAAAAAAAACTGTGCAGTTGGAGGCCATCTGATCTGCTAGGAATAGAAAACACACACACACAAATATATATATATATAAGAAAGGAAGGTAAGGGACCCTACCTTCCTTTCTCAACAAGTTTTTTGTTTTCTTATACTTTTTCTGGTCACATCGGGGGACGATACTTCTCTCTTCAGAATTTATCCTTTCTGGGTGTGGATCAGTTCTCCACTTACAGCGGTCTCAACGGGTGCATCATGCAGTTCTTCTAAGATGGAAATTAGGAGGAACCTCCAAGTGTCAAGTGCAATGTTCCAGTGTTGAACTCCTCCAAAAGTCCTGCGAGTTGCAGTGTAGTCTTGGCCTTTCAACGGTTGGTCGTCTAGGTTCAGGTTCATGGGAATTCTTTGCCTGCTCCCGCTTGTGCTCTGCTCCCATGGGCTCCGACGTTCGCCTCCAGCTTCTCGGTGACGCCACGCAAGCGCCGCATCCCCGAGCTCACCTTCTGGAGCCTGGCAACACCGAAGGCGAAGGCGCCTGGAAGAACGGATAAATAGGAGCGGCGACAGGTTATTGGAAGTAGCTGACATTGGACAGTAGCTGATCTCCCGTTGAATCCCAAACTAAAGCAAACTAGAAAAATGGAATGGTTATTTCATTTTTCTCAAGGCAAATGGATGGCCTGAACTGCTGCTTGGGTCGTGAGGACTGGGCTTCCTCGTTCAATTTAAGATGTTGAAGGCGAACCAATATTTTGGAGTTGTTTCGGAATCGTTGCAGGAGACTGACGACTGACAAACCCGGCACCCGGAAACCCTTGCAGGAGCCTTGGAAACTGTGTTGGAAAAGGTGGACCAGTGGACCACTCATCTGCGTAATCACAATGAATCAGTGCAAGGTGCAAGTGGAGAAGCTGAGATGGTAGCTATTAGGCTGGAGGCCATCGCTATTAGGTTGCTATTAAGTCGGAGGCCATTGCTACTAGGTTGGGGGGCAGAGCGGCCTTTAACAAAATCCTTTCTGTTTGTGCTTTCGTTTCTCATGAAACCGAGTTTTTGGGACCTCTTTTCCTTTCTTCCGCGCCTCCGCGAAACAGATCGTCCCAAGCATTGATCGAAACTGGTCATATCCTGCAAATGGGTCCCCTGTTCCGATGCCTTAAGAACATGAACAATACAGAAACGATCAGAAACGTCCAAATCATGGTAGCTAGACCCCTTTGGTGTGACCAACACATTATAGCTTATACATGCTTATACCATATTCCGACACTTGATCCTCATTCATGGCAGGCTCATGTCTCATGGGACGGTCGCTTCGAATTCAGTCCGACGAAGTGTTGCGATACTTTCCGGGGTAGGAGCAAGGAAGCTACTAGGGGCTCCTGGCCAATACTACTAGGAACAAGGGCCTTACTAGGAACAAGAATTAGAATAGAATATTTAGAATTAAAATTAGAAAGAAAGGGAAATACGCTGCTATGATGTCTTCTGTGTCACACACCTGGAAGACAAGCAGTCTGACTACAAGGTTGGTTTTGCGCTGAGACGCTGTCAGCCCTCAAGCCTCGCGCTCCTCCTCTCTAAAGTCCTGACATGCAAGCTTGTTGGTGCTCCATGCAAAATCAACCACAGAATGCACATGCAAGGCGTCTGGATCAACACTGCCACTAATAGCCCCTATGCGTTGCTGTGACCTGATGTTCTGATGCCCTCTTACTTGTGGAAAAGAGACGAAGCAGTGTGTGTGTGTGATGGGGTCGGGTTGGTGGTCGGAAATGCCTGGTACTATTCTGAGTAGAGTCTTCAGCGCTCTGCATTGTATTTGATGAGCATGCAATGGCATGATGGGAGCCGATCAGCAGAAAAACAGATGATTTGTCCCAACCAGTAGAAACTTTCATGTGAAAATGTGACTACATAGCCATAGCCCCATCCCGGGCCCGTCCCCATTCCAATGGCCTGGGCAGATCTGAGGACCTCAACAAGTTGGGAGATCACTGTTTCATTCTCTTTGATCTCTGAATCTCTTTGTCAGTTTGTCTGAATCCTCCCGAATATATAGGAGGGGATGCCACAGGCATGGAAGGACTTGTGGTTGCAATTACAATCTAGCTGTCTTCTCCACAACCTCGTGATCTCGCGGAACCCATTATTGAATCATGACTCTTCCTTTCGGGAGATTGAAAAAGAAAGATCTCGGACCAATCCAGCGGTATAACCCATATGATTCTGGTATTGCAGTTGCCCTAAAAATCTAGCAACCAAATGAATAGTGCGAACGCTTCTTCAAGGAAGCTCCCCCCCACGGGTAAGGGATCAAAAAAAAAATTAAAAGAATCAAAAAAAATATTCAACGGGGATCAATAAAAAAATAAAAAGGGAATCAAAAAAAAATATTCTAGCCCACTGAGGATGGTTGGTAGTAGTAGTAGTAGTAGTAGTAGTAGTAGTAGTAGTAGTAGTAGTAGCAGTAGCAGTAGCAGCAGCAGCAGCAGCACCACCAGCGTAGCAGTAGTAGTAGCAGCAGCAGCAGCACCAGCAGCAGCAGCGCAGCAGCAGCAGCAGCAGCAGGAGGAGGAGTAGTAGTAGTAGTAGTGGTAGCAGTAGCAGTAGTCACGGCGTTCACACGAAGTTAGGCCCTACATGGCGTTGTCAGAGCGCTCAGAGCAGAGAAGTGTTTGGAATGGGTGTAGCAGCATCGGAAGGTGCCTGGATGGGAATCTCCTCAGGAAAAAGATGTGGTGGACCAGTCTATTTCTAATGGGCGCATTGCGGTCGCAGCCGTACAGGGTCTTTTTCACCACGCGCTACGGTCAGCCGTTTTGCTTGTACTCCTGCATAAAAGGGGCTCGCACGCCAGAAGCTGAAAGCATCTGTGACTGCTTTCTTCGTTTCAGCGTGTTGCGCCAATTGAACTGAAAAACAAAGTCGTGTCGGGTCTCTCCTTCAGTGGCTTCCTCAGGAGCCCAGCAGCGGCCAAGCGCTCGTAGCTCCGCGCTTTTCTTACTGAAGCAGCAGAGGCCTTGGCGTGGACAGGGATGGCACGGACCCATTGCAAACATCTCTGGCAGAGCTCGCGGCTGAAGCGTCAGTATCGTGACAGCGTAGCGCATCCTGGGACGAGCCAGGGCTATCAGCAAGGCATGGGATCAGGGAAGAGTGCGAGCGCACCTCTACAGGAGCAACGTTGGAGGCGACATCCTGGCCAGAGGCAGACTAAGAGGAGTGAAAGCGATATGGAATACAAAACCAGCCTGCAAGAAGGCTGCTTCGCCAACCTCCCAACACACAAGACGCTTTGTGAGTGATAGTGAGACTGGGTCTTGGCCTCATCACCGTCGTCCACAAAATCACCTGGCAAGAGCGTGACGCATATGTCAACAGGCACGGGCCTTTTGCGCTGGTTGCTACCTCCTTCCTCTTCTTCTCCTTCGTCTTCTTCGTGCGCAGCTTCCCTTGTATCCTGCGCAGCGAGGTGGGAAAAGACGAGTGGAATCAGAGGCGACGAGCAGAAAAAGCAATATGTTATATGCCCTGGTTTGCAGCGTGTGAGCGCACCTCTACAGGAGCAACGTTGGAGGCGACGTCCTGGCCAGAAGCAGACTAAGAGAAGTGAAAGCAATATGGAATACAAAACCAGCCTGCAAGAAGGCTGCTTCGCCAACCTCCCAACACACAAGACGCTTTGTGAGTGATAGTGAGACTGGGTCTTGGCCTCATCATCGTCATCCACAAAATCACCTGGCGAGAGTGTGACGCATATGTCAACAGGCACGGGCCTTTTGCGCTGGTTGCTACCTCCTTCCTCTTCTTCTCCTTTGCTTTCTTCACGCGCAGCTTCCCTTGGATCCTGCGCAGCGAGGTGAGACAAGACGAGTGGAATCAGAAGCGACGAGAGGAAAAAGCAATATGTTTGCAGCACATGCGTCAACAGGTAGGTGTGGGCCTCTGTGTCTCCATCATTGTCTTCTTCTTGGGGTCCCTGCGCATCGGATCCCCGTGAAATAGTGTATCAGTGACAACAAACAATGGAGAGCCTCATTACAATCAATGCGCCTTGGACTGGTCTTCGTGCTGGAAGTCCTGCGAGTCCTGCGCACGGACAACTTTTTGACAATGCCCTCTCATGGAGCACAGGAAATGTACAAGCACAAATCAATAAGCAAGCTGAAAGCGAACCACGGTCCTGATCGGCTGGGCTGGGTTCCGGGTCAGAACCACAATGAGCCTGATGGTATAGGAAAAATGGGGAACACAGAAGTTGAATACACGATAAATGTCGGAAGCCGCTGAGGCAGGCACTTTGCAATGCTCCAGGAGTTGGGTGGCCGGGCCACCAGGTAAATCAGGGAGATAGGCTTTCACAGTAGGTAAATCCCATGTGGCAAGCACGTCAACACTGAGCTTCTCTTTTTGGAAGATGGGAGCAAAGGCTTGAAGTCCAAGGTGTTGTAAAATAGCCCGGAGCCGTCGATCCAACCCGCCCACGTTGGAGGCAGCGCGCCCTGCAGAGGAGCTGGCAGCAGGGCGTTTGTGGGCGGGTCGGAGAATTGTTGGCGGCGGGTTGTGCGCCATCAAGCGCCGTGGCCGAGCTGGGAGGTGCGAAACAGTCGTGACGATATGGCCGCTGTGGAGCCAAGCAGCTCACAGGAGCCGTGCAACGAGAAAATGTTGCATCCAAAGCAGACTGCTTGGCGGTGGTGTGGTGCTTCAGCTTCAATGCTGGCGAGGCACCAAAATTCAGAAGCAGACGGGCCGAGGAGAACTAAGACGAAGCTTGAAAGTAACCGACGCAAAGCCTCTAAGTCCACCAGGCCTTCTGACATGCAGCCGGCACGTTGGAGGGCGCCATTGAGAAAGGAAATATCTTTGGCCAAAAACAAGCCTTTTAATTTGGCTGCAAGTTGTGAAGGTGGACGCGCAACTTTGGAATCTGGCGTCAAAGCCCACTCGGCCCGTCCCTTGTCCCATGTGGCCAGTGTACGCCGCATGGCGTACCACAGGGAACCTGAGTCGTCCGAGCACCTGTCGAAAGCAGCTGTCCTGTAGTAATGTTCAGCTGACGATCGGCCCTGCTTTGTCAAAGGCCCTGAGTCGCGCAAAACAAATGGATCCGGAAATGGCTCAGTCGGGACATCGGGGAGCTTCTGAGACCCGACCCGAATTTGTTTTAAGCGACTTTGAGTAAATTTGGCCAACACGCCGAAAAAGATAGGGACCTCTTGGTAGGAAGCAGTGACATACGCTTTCAGCTTGCGGCGGTGCCAGGATTCTTGGGCCTGGGTCCCTGATGCTGACCCCGGTTGGAGGCGACCAAGGCCAGACCACCAATCTGCCGAAATAAGACCTGAATCATCATTGGGCAGGTTGAGATAGTGTCTTCGGAAAGCATCAACACAAGCCCGCTCAGGAGGGTTGGACTGCAGCATGGAGCCAAGGAGCCGGTCAATCGCAAGATGAAAAAGGAGAGCTGAAGGGCAATTGCGTAAAACATACACCCACTTAATATTAACCAGATACGGCCCCCACGACTGGTCGCGCAAATTTGTGCGCATGGTTTGCGAAAAGCCGGCCCTGTAGGCCTGCACCGTGTGATCGGGCACAGGAGTTTGCCGCGGCCTGACGCATGCCCCAATGAAGTGTGAAAAGTCTGCAACCCGCGCGGAATTGGGAAAGACCGCCGGGCGGGCCAAGTTCTCTCCGGGGTGCCAATCACAATGGTACTGAAACACACGAGAGGGTAAGTCAAAGTCCAAAAAAGACTTTGCACACACGACAGCACCTCTGAACAGAGCGGCGTAAGTCGGCTGGCATTCTTTATTTGCAATGGCAAACACGAGAGGCGAATAGGTGCTGCGGAAAGCATATGTGTTACCTGCAGGCCCATAATGCTTTGTCAAAACACCGAGGTTGGGCAAGACCCACCCGTCACGAATTAGGCGGAAAGTGCCGTCTCCGCGCAATTTGATATAGTGTTCTCTGTAAACAAGGCAGGGTTGGCGAAGACGATCACAGTGTGTTCAGGAGACAACTCTGCAGACACTACGGCCAAAACATCGGAGTCTAGTGTCACGGACTCCATGCTTGGAGATGTACGGATTAGCTGCTGCCAATCGTACTGGCGCCACACTTTCTTGCATGAGCTCTTTCCCACTTTATGGTTCTTCCGCCAGGTTTTCAGAAAAAGATTCGGGCACCGGACGGTCCGGCTGCAATTCGTCAACGATCCGGAGCAGGTCCTGTGTGGTGACATGAGTGTTGCTTTGCATATGGGCCTTCAGTCGGGTCTCGGTAGTGGAAGTCAGGGGGTTCCATGTTCTGATGAGGTCAAATTGCCCATGTGCGGTTTCTGGAGTGTATTGTCTAGAGAAGGTCTGCGTCGGAACGTCATATTGAGACATTGCGCTCCAGCCAGCTTGATTCTTTGCGCACTTATGACAGCTGTTGCACCAAAGCAGCACTTTGAAGCCATTGGAGCACGAGAGCCATTGATGCCGAATGGCCAAGGTCTTACCATCAATCAAACTTTGTGCCCAATTCTTTTCTGCCGCAAGGAAGGCAGCTCTGCCATCGAAGGCGTTCTCAAGCTGAGTTGGGGGGGTGGCCAAAGTCTTTCTCGGCTTTTCTTCTGCTTTGCACGGGCGTCCCCTGCCCGCCTTGGCCTTTGGCTGCGCTTGTGCGCGAGGGGGTGCTGCCACTGCCTTGGCTTTGGGGCTTCGTCCCCTTTTCCCTCCGGCTAAGATTGGGGGGGAGGTCTTGGTGGACAAGGTCTCCCACTTCGGCCTCAAGTCCGAGCTTTTTGCGGGTGTCTGGTAGGAGTTGGGCTAGACTAAGCTTCAAACGAAAGGGGCTTTGTCGGGTGCCCGGGTAGGTTCCTTCGATAACACCTACCTGCATGCTGCGCCAAGGCAAAAACCTCTTCATAGTGCGCTTGGTCTCGGTGTTTGGAGTTCAGGTGGGGCTTGACGTCAGAAATA